CGACACGGTGGTCTTCAGGTGCATCCGCGGGCCGTTCTAATCCTGGTTCAGCCACAGATTCTTGCACTGCAACATCAGCTTCTGGCCCCTGAGAAGCGCGGCTGGCAGTCGCCGTCTCTGGTATTGCTGTCTCTGAATGTGGAGTCTTTTGATCGTCCAATTCAACTTCACTCTTGGTGTGACTTTCCGTACAGTCAGTGATGAGATCCTGATTGACCAAATCAGAGTTCACAGTGGCCTCAATCGGCGCGTCGTCCGGAGCCGCGGTCGTGGAAGACGTCGGTTCTGGCTTGATTTCTGAGTCTTGGACAGTGGGTTCCTGCTCTCCCACGACATCGATCATTTGATTCTGAGGTTTGTCATCCGGTGTTTCCGTTGGGGCGGGATCGGAATTCTCCAGCTCTTCCGCCCCTGGCGACTTTTGATTCCCGGGATCCGCAACGTTGCTCTCGGCCGCTTCATTTTGACCAAAGACCTCGGCGGATTCCGTCGAGCTATTACCGGGTTCAAGAGAAGGATTGGCAGGGGCTGTATCAACCTCGGAAGATGTGTCCTGGACCTGTTCTGCTGCGTCCAGTTTAGTCGTGGCTCCCTCTTGATCCTTCTTAGTGGTCTGCTCGACCACTTGCTTCCCAGCCTCTTCTTCCCCAGCAGCCAACGGTGACACGGTCTCTTTTTCGAGCCCATGGCCGGTTTCCTCAACGGCGCCCTCGGAAGTCGTTTTTTCTGCAGTGTCTGCCTTCATGGTTTCGGATTGCGCAGTGTCCGTGGAGTGGGCGTCTCGACCGTCCGTGTTTTGCTCGACTTTCGTAACGGTCACACTGTTCTTGGATTTGTCACCAGTCCAAACAGAGCCAAAAACGGCAGGGCTCGACTCGGCGAGGTCCGTAGAAACGAGTTTTCCTGCGTCTGTCAGCCTTACACACCACGGATCCAAAAGCGCTTATACGAACGTGCAATCCTCCCACTGTGTCTCCGCGGCGAATCATAGCGCGTCGGCGCGAATGCTTTGCTCTTGGGCCTGACTCTGCCGGGCGTCGCCGTTGGATCTGTCGGCGGCGCGTCCAAAACGCGTTTCTTGACAACCTTCCTCGGACTCTGCATGGCACTCTGATCGCCCTTGTTCAGCGACTCTTTCGCATCACCCGCCTTTGCCTGTGATCGAGTCGTCCGCAATTCGTTGCGCTTCCAGACTTTGCGATACTTGCCATTCCGCGCAAAAGGCGAATGCGGCTGGCGTTCCCAAGCACGCGGCGCCTTGGCCAGAGGGAGAGCGGCGGGATCAAAGGCAGACGCATCGGTGGCATCCCAAGAAGCGTCGAAGGTCGTAGGTCGCGTGGGTTGTCCTTGCTCCGCGGGCGGCGGTGTGGACGTTGTTGAGGGGGAGCCGGCCATGATTTGGCAGAAAGCGCGATGGAAAACTGCAAACGAAGAAGAATTCGAGAGAATTGGACGCCACGCGATCCAGTCTCACTCAGCCGACGCGAGGGTAGAAAATATGGATGCGTAGGCGCTGTTTGGGTAGTGATGTTTTCGTCGTCTCTGGGATGTAAACATGGGCGTGCAGATCACAGCGTGGCCGTTGCCGAGACGCCGGACTTCTGCCGGCCCGTCGCGCTCTCGATTTTGGAACTACAGGTACCTACGCCGTCTCTCTACGGCGTTCAATTGCTTGATCTTCGCACCTCTACGACGACTTGGATCGCAGTATTCGAAAATGCCTCCGCCGAAGCCGAACGGCAAGAAGCTCCCCAAGCGCCCGCTGCCCCCTCTCCCGAAGCTGCGCGTCAAGAACCCAAACGTCGTCGAGCCCAACCCATGCCTGGGTGTCATGTCGTCAGTACTAGGTACGTCGAAGCTTTATCATTGCCGAGTACACTAGAACTTTTGGAAAGAGAGCGTATGAGAAGTCACGATGATGGAGAAGCCAAGGGAGCCAATCATTGGAGAATGAGGGCCCTCAAAACCTTTGTAGTGGACGGACATGTCCATAGAGTAACGTGCTGACGGTCAACGTACAGGATGCTGGGCTTCGCACGGTTACAACGTGGCCGGCTGCGCACAAGTTGAGGCGCAACTGAGAATGTGCATGGACGCGCCGGTAAGACTACCATCTGCGCCAAACCTTTGCAAACCCATCGCAACTCTGACCACACGGCTGCAGGTACCCAAGGTGGCCAAGACGAACAACATCAACTACCACCTGTCGCGCATGTACCCCAAGCTCGTCGGTCCTCACAAGCGGAAATAGAGAAGCAGGGCGCATTGGATTTGGCACGCGACCAACTCTTCATCTACGATTTTCGTGTCTTGTGTGGCGCTTTTGTGGAGGTGGGCAATGTGATGCACTTCAAGAAGAGCAAGACTGTCTTTTAAAAATGTGCATATAACAGGGATGGCGTTGGGATGGATATACCACAATTCTCGTACCTCACAGAAGCCTCGTGGAAGAGAAATGTGCGTGATGGGATGAGATGCTTTCATTTGTGAAGATTGCGCAGCAGAAGAATCAAAAGCTCGAGACAATGAAGAGAAGATCACAAAGCAAGCACTAGTCGTTCTAGAGACAAGTCCAAGAGCTAGCCTTTTCGAGATCGCGTTTGAGATCGCGTATCATTTGAGTCATGAGCACAATGGATGTCGAAATAAACGAGGCTTTTAACCATCGCGGTTGCATCTAAGGAGCTGTCGTTCGACGCTACGTCTACACTGAAGGAGCTGTCGTTCGATAGTACAGTCAAACCTCACCAGCAGCCATTGCCGTGAGCGGTAGCGATGATCCGGGCAAAGCATAAGCGTCGGTCAAGAGGAAAAGCAACACGGCTAGACACCACCAGGCACAGGTCAAAGCAACCGCACATCATAAAAAGAAGCGCGCTTGGCGACTCGAACTGAGGCGCTTTTACTTACGCTTTTCGGTCGATTTCCCTTTTCGGAAATTAGGAATGCCTGGAACAAAAAAAAAAAAAAAAAAATGACAATGAGGGTTCAAGGTGTAGAAACACAAGAAGGGGTTTCCAGTGTTCTTACACATTGAACCCCCACTAGTCTTTTTGTCTGCTTTTGTTGCCTTATAAAGTGTGTTTGAGCAGGTGTGGGAATTTGGGTTCACGATGGTCTGTCAAATGGAGGCTTTGATTGTGAGGCGACATCACCACAGTTGGCGACTTGAACTGGCGCACCTCTATGTTCTCTCCTATGCGACCTACGGACTCCTGGTCTTTCCACACGGACTTCGTCTCCGTTTGACTAACGCGCATCGACAGGGTCAGCAAGACACCAGCCTCTGTTACCATCCTCCCTCTTGGACAAGAGCGGCATAAGACGTACGGACTTTGAAGCATGCAACAACTGGAATTGCCAGCTCTTGCCACATGTCTTCTTTCTCTTCATCGTCCACCTCTTCCGCTTCATGAACAGGGCTCAAAGCCCGTCTCAGGTATGTGCGGTTGTGCGCTCGGCGCCAGCTTGCGCCCGACCCTTGTCCAGCTGCGACTCGGTTCGCGGCTCTTCCACAGCCTCAGCTGCTGCTACTTCCGCAGTCATCATCTGCGTGGCTTCATGACGCTCTACACAGCTAGCCCAGTCTACTCCAGCATCGCCAAGGAGCACCCATCACTCATCCGTGGAATCTTCCTTCGAAATCAAGCTTGAGCAACAGGTTTTTCCACCGCTACTTCAGCTGCGCTCTTGGCCAGCCTGTCCGCCATGACGTTGTACTTGCGCGGGACGTGCCAGAAGCCAATTACAATGTCCTCGGGCTCCTCAAGCTCCTTGATCTTCTCGTCAATCTTGAGGAAGAGATCGAGGTTGCCGGGCGTCTTGCCCGACGCATTCTTGAAGCCTTTGGCCTAACACAAACACTGGGGTAAGCCTATGAATGATCTCTCGCGGCGTGCAGGTCAAATGATTAGTGGTGATCACTAACCTTCCATTTGGGCAGCCATTGCGTCATGCCCGCCACGACGTACTCGGAATCGGTTGCAATGACCAGCTCCGTCCGCTTCTCCTGAGCCACGGGCATCGGATGCGTCTTCCTCTCGCGAAAGTGCTTCATCCCCCTCGCAATGCCCTCATAGGCCGCAATCAACTCGGCCCTTTGGCTGGTCACGTGTGCTTCGTCGTGGAGCGGCAGACTGTACGACTGGTCCTCGGCCGTTCCGACGACGACGCCGCAGCCCGCGCGCGCGTCTTGCTTGCCGTTGTTGAGGCAGGCGCCGTCGGTGAAGACGAGCGAGCGGTGGTGGCAGACGTGGCCGTCGCGTTGGTTGTTGTTGCCGCTGAAGGGGTGGATGCAGCACAGCGAGAAGTATTCCCCGCACCACTCGCACATGCGGATGATTTCTTCGATCTGGTGTTGCTGGATGAAGGGACAGAGCAGCCATTTTCGCCCGATTACTCCTAGCTCTTCTTGCGGCTGCAGTCCTGGTGCTTTTTTCCTTAGCATGCTGGAGATTTGGCGGGCAAAGGACGAGGAATAAGAGAGGTGAAGGGGTGCGGATCAAGTCGGATGGAAAACGCGTCTGCGTACGGGACGCACTAACTGAGTCAGGCAATTGGTCGACGTCCGACTGCTGTGAAAGCATCGAGTCAAAAAAAAGTGGTCCAGTCGAACCACCTCTCACTAAATATGTGCTGTTGGTTGGCTGACTGATTTCAATTAGTCAAAAGCCTCAAGTGAGTAATCTGTTGTGTTTTCTTGCTGTCGACGGAAGACATCACCCGACTCTGTCTACGAACGATGCTCCTGCAGCTGCAGGCGGCGTCTGTGTAACTCGTTGGAGCTTGAAAACACCAAAACAGCCAGTCGCAATCACCAGCCACCTTTGCCTCTCGGAGCATTTAGCTCGAGCCCGAGTGCCAAAATTCAGGACAGAAATGGCAAAGTTGCGGGGCAGACTGGGGTTTGCTGTTTGCATCAGCAACATCTTTTCAAAATCATTAGTATATAATTTGTTAAAACCCCTTCCCACTATACAGCAGAATCCGAAAACGTTTATGGATTGGTGGCGTAGTGGTAACGTATGTCGTGGGTTAACATCGCTTCCATGGCAAGTCCCAGGTTCAACTCCTGGTCAATCTGACACTATCTGCTTTTGCTCTTTCTTTTTGCCATTCTTTTTGTCCGCTGGTGGTACAGAGTGGTAGCGTGGGGTCCGTGTCAGTGCCTTGAACCGCGGTCGATACTGTAGCGAGGAGAGAGTGTCGTGGGTGGGAACCAAACATGGGCAAGCTGACAAGGCACCTGTAGCCAGCGTGAGCTTTTGCTGTCTGCCATGGTCATACGAAAAGGACTCGACAGCTGTTGTGGTGGAATGTCAGGAGGACGAAGGCACGAAACCTGTATGCAAAATTGGCAAACGCAAGTGCAAAAAAAGATCAATGCTTCAAAATTCAGCGAAAGCAGACATTCCATGAACAGCGAAGCCCTCAGTATTCTAGATTCCCTGGCTATCCAACTCCGCTGCTTGCTTAGCAAACATGTCAGCAAGGCTATTCTGCTCCCTCGGGATATGCATGAAGCGAATCGCCACAGCCAAACCGTCCATCCTCTGAATCCGCGCGATTCAATCTGCAGAAACAGATCGATGTTGACGGGCGCCGTGCCATTCGAAGTCTTCATCCCATTTTCCTAACGCAAGATGAAGGTTAATCGACAATCATTGCAAATCCGCAAACAAACCACGTACCTTGCACCGCGGCAACCACTCCGTCACCCCCTTGACGACGTACTCCGAGTCCGTCGCCGCAATCACCTCCTTCCCCTCGTTGCCCCGGACGCCGCTCTTCCTCTGATGCGCACGCTCGCGCCGTACACACCCTCATCGATATCCTCAACGGCTCCCATGAGCTCAGCACGCTGGCTCGTCTTCGGGATAGCGTAGCAAAACAGGTGAGAGTGTTGCTGATTCTTTCCCACGCCCACCGCAATGCCGTAGCCGCCGGAGGCGCCGCGCTGGCCATTTTTGGAGCAGGCGCCGGCCGTGAAGACGACGCTGCGGTGGTGGCAGATGGCGTTTGGGTGCAAGCTGCAGTGGTGGAAGAAGAGGCCGCAGTCGGGGCATGCGCGGATGCGCTCTGTGGGGATGAGTAAGGCGGCTTCGGCGCTTGGTTGGAAGAGACGAGGGGGGGTTTCGTACACGGGCTTTTGCACCACGTGAGCGAAACCAGATAGAAGCATTTTGTCTGGTGGTGAATGCTTGTACCTCTTGCCGAGCGAACGTCAGGATTAAGTACCTCTAATTCGGTCTTCTAGGTGCCTTCGATGTTGTTGGGAGGTGGTGTTCCAGCCGCAGGCTAGCCGGAGACTAGACACTGTTTCCGCTTAACACCCAGGCAGAGGGCGAAAGCCACAAGAAGTGTGTCGCGAAACGTAAAGTGAATAGACATGACGATCACCGGCCACCGTGGGGGGCTCTTCAAGTCAAGAACTGCTGCAAAATTCTGATAAATTCGTCGTCTTCTCCGAGAGCCGCCTGCCCTGTCTTGACTCCCTGTATGCACTGTCAACCGCTTGAACCAATCTTGCACATCTGAAGGATCACCCCTGCTTCTCAAACGTAAACAACCTTCAAGTCAACATTTGAACACCCGTAGATGGTCCTCTGGCCCTGGCTCTTAACACTGAGGACAATGTCGCCCTCCTTGCCATTCGATCCAGGGACTTCCGACACGGGGCATGCCATCCACCCACCAGTCCATCCTGCGTTAATCCCATCCTTGAATCCAAGTAACTCATTGTTGACGATGCCCACCCCAGGAGTTCCCTCTCCACCGCACGCACTGGCGTCGACAGTGTTTGCCGAGGGCACCGTCGCCGTGCCACCAGGCGTCACGACAATACCGCCGGTGGTGCCCTCGCCATCGCCGTTTCCGCTCCGATCGAGGTTGACAGTCGTGTACGTCGTGCCATTGTTGTCGTGGGTCCACTGCGCCCACTTGTCACCGCCAGACGGGACAAGGTAGACGGAGCCCATGCAAGCCTTGTCGGTGACAGGTTTGAAGACAGCCTCGTACGACGAGACGTCGGGCGTGAAAGGGAAAGCCGTGACCTTGGCGACGAGCTTGAACGGAGCGGGTATCATGGGGCCGCGAGAGTCGAGTGTCGCTGGAGCGGCGGCTGCAAGAGGCAGCAGCAGCGGGAGCAATGTGGCGGCCTGAGGAAACATTGTGAAAGTGCTGAGGATGTTGGGGTTGAGAAGATGATTCGATGCGTTTTTGAAAATGCACTTGGTTGGTAGAGTTGAAGGAGGCGTTCTGCTGTACTGCAGTACCATGACCTTTTCGATGCTCTTTTATATGTCTTCGTCACATCTTGCGTCCACGCCGTACGCCGCCCCTTGGCTCATTGCTGACACGATCTGCTACGGAGGATTGTAACCTGCTCCGGTGAATTGTGCTGGAAGTGAGCAGCATCCGAACAAAATCAAAATGACATCAACGTTCCAGTAGGGAGAACCAGCAGTATTCGTAAAATTTGCGGTGAGCTAGACAATCACTGGGCGCCACAAATACCAAAATCGGTCGTTGTGGGGGTTAGCGCTGATGCGCTGCTCTCCTTGCGGAGGCTGAGCTCTGTTGCTGACTCCGCCATGTCATTGGCTTGCTTAGCCTTATGCTAGTAGATGTAGCTGTATGTGGCGGATACATGCCGAGAAGAATGAGGGCGACTGCAAACTTCTCTCAAATTCTTGTCGAAGTTGTAAGCATGTGCTTCTCTGACATGGTGTTCGTAGGATCCAGTCCAACTTAGGCAAATCGCGCTCCTATCCAGGTACTCGGTTATGGACAGCTGTTGTACGACGTGCAACGTAGATTAGACTGGAGCTGGAAAAGGCCAGTCAGACGGCTGAAATTCCGTGACAAGACCAACCAAGTCGTCCAACAGTGCGATTCTTTCCATTCGTCAATCGGAAGGGTAGATCCGAGAAAGTGCCTCAGCAGCAGGATGAGTGGCTTCCTGCTGGCTCGAGTCGCTAAGTCCGGTGCATAAAGGCAGCGGTCAGGTCGCACATCCTATGCGATTGTTGCTGAATGCCAGAGACCAGATTTGGAAATCCTCTTGGAAAACGGATTCGTGCTGCTGAGGGGCTGAAGCACTGCGAGTTTGTAACGCCATTCTGCTCCAGTTGCCTGCTCTTACCTCATGCTCGCAGTCCTGCCTCGGCGGCCTTTTTCAAGCCCTCTGCCCAGACCTTCAGGCCATCCTTTACCATCCATCCCGTGAGCCACTTGACAAAGTAGGCCATCGGACCTTCGAAAATCATGTACGTCCTGTACGTGCATCTTTCGCCTTCTGTTCCCTGCCCATCTCCCTCAATAACGACGTCGTTCACTCGGCGAGTCTTGAGCAACCAAGGCGGCATGCCCCAAACATCCCAGCATACGCGATAGGTGCCTCGCTCGCTTGAGCCAATGTCGTCAGGCGTTGAGAGCAGTGTGATTTCCTCGGTGCTGCCTCCAGGCACCACCACTTCCCGTCCCAAAATCCGCGTTCGCACCTCGAACTTGAGCACTTGTCCGACTTGTAATGGATCATCGCGTGGTCCGGACCGCGGAGCTGAGGGGTTCGGCGAGGGCTTTAGGACTTGGGCGTGTGGTACGAATCCGTTCCACTCTTTCCATGTTGAGCGGGAGGTCAAGAGGGCGAAAACAGCGGCAGGAGGCGCGTCGATAGAGACGCAATACGATGGCGTGAAGATAGATTTCGGAGACGAAGGGACGAACGAGGTTGACATGTTTCCTGAGACGATACTGTCAAGCTGGCAAGGTTGTTGTTTTGGCGAGGTTGATGCGGACATCGGATAGATGTGACTATGGGAATCGCATCTAATCTTATCAATCTTACATGTGATCTCGCGCTCGTGCGACCCACTTACAACGCGTCCCACTGCACTGAATGTTTTCCTCCACAACTCGACGGCCATGACATGACAACCCACCCAGAACGACAGGGGCTGACCTTTTATCCTGCGCATTATTTCGACAAGTCTCCGACATTCAACTCATGGGCTAAACTCACCGCGGCGGGCGTCCACGCCCTGCGCAAACCGCCGCCCGGGATAGGTAAGGACATGCAACATCCCGCCCAGTCTCTGTCCCAAGCTTGCTCCTCGCTAACATTGCATCTTCGCTCGTGTTCAGGGCCCTCAAACTACATTAGCAGTGCTGGATCACATAGACCACCTCACCAAACCTTCTACTATCTCAACCACCCTATCCGCTTCGTTCGTCTCGTTGGGACCGTTGTAGCCATCGAGGCGCCCTTTCCTCGTTTCGTCTTGCTCACGCTCGACGATGGCTCCGGTGCTACAATTGAAGTCAAGATCCAGCGGCTGCTCCCTGATCAGCTCGACGAAACGGGGACCCACGAAACCAACACAACCCTCTCCAACGTCCGCGTCGAAAGTAGCATTGGTGTTTTCGACGTCTTTGTCGATGGGATCCTCGTTGACATTGGGACGGTCCTCCGCGCCTCATGTACTCTCGACTCGTTCCGCAAAGTCAACCAGCTCTTGCTGGAGCGGTGCTCGGTCATTAAAAACACGGCCAACGAGGCGCGCAACTGGGCGGCGACAGCGGCGTACATGCGGGACGTTTTGGCCGGACCCTGGGTTTTGACCGCAAAAGAGAAAGCAAAGTTGGACGACAGGCATAGCCGAGAACAACGGGAGAAAAGGGACAAGGAGGTCAAAGAGGTCCAACGGAAAACGCTCAAGGAGAGAGCCAAGGCAGAGTGGTATCGGCTACGCGACGAGAGAAGGAGAGCCAATGAAGAGAAGCTGGAACGGAGAAGGCAGCGGGAAGAGGTCTTGATGAATCGTGGCGCACTTGTATAGCCGCGCTCTGTTTGGCGAATCTGGTCCCTGCCTGAAATCGGTCCCTCTGCTAATGTGTCCAGTCGAACGCTTCAGTCTTGCGTACTACTCTTGTATCTGGTTGCTGATATTTGTATCCATCATTTTGTGCCGCATATCATTGCAACAATGGATCGATTAATGATCACTACGGATACCCAAGACCATTGGCGTGTCGAAATTTTGGTCTTGAATACTGAACTTACGTGCAGGTCATCTGTCGGGC